CCCATGAATTGTTACCACTTCCTTACTGCCTGCCACAATTGAGTTGGAGAGTTGGAGGGTGACATTTGGGATCAGCGGACATCTGGAAGGACGGACGGTGGGAAAGCCACAATAGAAGAATTGCTGCACTGATGCTATTCATATGTGGGACCTTCTGCACAGCAGCCTGAGCCTTCTCACTTAGGGCTTTCCAGAGTGGTTTGGGGTTGACTCTGTATTCTCCAATAGTATTTACTTCTGTGGTGAAGACTGTTAGAAATAACTGTGGTTGCTTTAGCATCTCTAGAGTACCGACTTCAATTAGGCCCCATTGACAAGACTGGTGAGCTGACAAGAGAGGGCTCTCTATTGGCTATTGAGGTTAAAATGCAGGCAGGGATAGAGATCAGACATGTGACTAATTAACTTTTTAACACCTAGAGATTCTAAGAGTCCTCCTATATTACAGCCGGAATTAACAGATTAGCCTCTGCCACAGTTAGTAAGCCTGGCCCCTGAGTCTGTCCCCTGTGGCTGTCACTGGTGCTTTTCAGAACTGGAGGAATTAGATACAGAAGGGGTATGGGGCACTGACAAGAAGCTCCAACTGAAGAATAGCCCTCATTCCCACCACAGTGAACCCTTTTAGAGACCCGCAGCTGGGGGGAGGTGGGGGCCAGGCAGGCTGAGAAAATGAGGGGCCTGGTATTGGTAGCCAGGTCTGTTTCTTGACATTGTTTTTGTTAGATACCTTGGAATCAGTTCAGACCCATAGCAATCCTGTGTATAACAACAAAACTCTACCCTGCCCTCTCTTCACAATTAGTTGTTTTCTTGGGCTTATTGTTGCAGCTACTTTGTGAATCCAAGTTGTCAAGGGTCTTTCTCTTTTCACTGCCCTAGGGGAAGGAATTTGTGAAAATAAAACTAACACTGATTCTCTATTTATCATGTGCCAAGCACTATTTTATTAATGTACTCATTGGAAGTAGATGCCATATTTGTTCTCTCAAAAACCCAACCCAACCTACTGCCATTAAGTCAATGCTGAGCCATAGCAACCCCCTGTGGGTTTCCGAGACTGTAACTGTTTATAAGAGTAGAAAGCTCAGTCTTTCTCCTGAGGACCTGCTGGGGGTTTGAACTGCCAACCATATCACAGCTCAACGTGGAACCACTACACCACCAGGGCTCAGGAATATAGAGGAGGTTAAGGTTGAAACCAAAGGTTGGTGCTTCAAGATTCTTTTGTTGTTGCAAATATGCATAGTAAAAGACACCAACCCAACAGTTTTAAGTGTACCCTATATTGACCTTAATGGCATTCTTCAGTTGTGCGACCATGTTTGCACCCCTCTCTTAGTTGACCTTCCTCCATTAATATAAAGTCACTGTTTCTAATATATCTGTCTTAATTTTTTCAAGTTATCAATATAATGCCATGTAGATCGTTCTTAAAGGAATATGATGCTCAAGGTAGACTCTTTTTTACTAGTTAAGCTAATCTGTTACATAGTTTTAAGACTTGAGGGCATATTTTTGGTTCAAAGTTTTAACAGTTTTCTCAGGGCAGTAATTTTTTAAAATTCATTTTATTGGGGGTTCGTACAACTTACCACAATCCATATATCTATCCGTTGTGTCAAGCTCATTTGTATATTTGTTGCCATCATTCTCAAAACATTTTCTTTCTACCTGAGCCCTTGGTATCAGCTCCTCATTTTCCCCCTGCCCTCACCCTCCCTCCCTCAGAAACCCTTGATAATTTATAAATTATTATTTTTTCTTGTCTTACACTGACCGCTATCTCCCTTCACCTACTTTTCTGTTGTCGGTTCCCCCACCTTTCCCTTACCCTCTTGGTATCACTACTCTCATTATTGATTCTGAGGGGTTTATCTGTCCTGGATTCCCTGTGTTTCCAGCTCTTATCTGTACCTGTGTACATGCTCTGGCCTAGCCGGATTTGTAAGGTAGAATTGGGATCATGATAGTGGTGGGGGAGGAGGACGCATTAAAGAACTAGAGGAAGGTTGTATGTTTCATTGGTGCTATACTGCACCCATCTATAAGGGCATGTCCAATTTCCTACAGATGGGCTTTGCGTCTCCACTCCGCACCCCCTCTCATTCACAATGGTACGATTTTTTTGTTCTTTGATGCCTGATAACTGATCCTATCAAAACCTCGTGATCACACAGGCTGGTGTACTACTTCTTCCATGTGGGCTTTGTTGCTTCTGAGCTAGATGACCGCTTGTTTATCTTCAAGCCTTTAAGACCCCCAGACACTATATCTTTTGATAGTCGGACTCCATCAGCTTTCTTCACCACAATTGCTTATGCACTCGCTTTGTCTTCAGCGATCCTGTCAGGAAGGTGAGCATCATGGAATGCTAGGTTACTAGAACAAAGTGTTCTTGTGTTCAAGGAGTACTTGAGTGGAGGTACAATGTCCATCTGCTACCTTAATATTAAACCTATAACTATGTGCACCTAGATCTATTTCCCCATCATCATATATAAATATACTTAAACATATGTACATGCCTGTATTTAGACCTCTATAAGTGCCCTTTGCCTCCTAGTTCTTTCCTCTGTTTCCTTTTACTTTCCTCTTATCCCACTATCATGCTCAGTCTTCATTTGGGTTTCAATAATTCCTCTTGGTTAATAGTATGAAGCAATAGTATAAATAGTTCAAGGTATGTTTGTCCCTGATCAAACCTTATAGGTTTCCTACACACACACCTTGCCATCGATTGTAGATCTCTTGTTGTTCCCATGCCCCTGAGTTTGCTAACACCCACTTCCTGTCCCTTCCATCTCCCTCTCACCTATTCCCCCCTCCCCAATCGTCAGTCCCGTTGTTTTTTCCTCCAGATTGTTTATCCAGCCTAACTTATCTAGATAGACCTGCAGAGATAATAATATGCACAAAAAACAAGACAGAGCAAAACAAAGTAACAAAAGATAACCAAACAACATTAACGACAAAAACCATGACCAAAAAAAAAAAGCTTGGGGGTGGGGGGGTGAGGAGTTGATGCTAGGGCCTTAAGTGGAGACCAAATATTTTGAGAATGATGAGGGCAGTGAATGTACAAATGTGATTTACACAATTGATGTATGTATGGATTGTGATAAGAGTTGTATGAGCCCCTAATAAAATGATAAATTAAAAAAAAAGCCTATAAATAGTTCAAGGTATGTTTGTTGACCTTTAGGAGTGTTTTCCAAGCGAGTTTGATGGGGTGCCATGCCCTGGTCCCAAAGTCTATTTTTGGTATTCTACGGGGACTTCATTGCTCTGCTCCGCTTGCTCTTCTGTTGCACACCCTTAGTGTTTCGCCTCGGTGTGGTGGGATCGGATCAGATCACGTGAAGTTCTCACACTGTGTCTCCAGTGAGGGACGTTACCTCTCGTAGTGGGGCCGGCCCTGTGGTCCTCTCTGTGCATTGGCTGCTCGGAGCAGGAATATCGTCCTCAGGGCTTGGTAGTCCACTCTCTCTCACTCCCCCTTCATGTGCTCCTGTGTGCTCTGATCAGACATGCCCCTCTCCCTGAACTGTAGCTTCAGGCCTGCCCTCTGAAGTGAATTCTTCTGTGGGGAGGGGGGACTGTCCACGTAGTTGGGATTGGGGCCGGCCACTCAGACCTCTCTACTGGTTCCCTGCTTCATGCTGATATGTTGCATTCATGTCTTGGAGCACCGGGTTGAAGTCTGGTCCCTCTTTCTCAGGGTAGTAATTTCAATTTTTGATATTCTGTTATGCATATTCCCCTATTTAGTCATGATTCTTTATTTATAGAGTTTTGATCAAAATGTTCAGAGCACCACCTAGATCTGTTTTCATGGCAAAGGTGGCAGTTAGTTGTTCATGGAGGTAATAAGCCACACATTCCATATCTTCCTGTCATTTCTGATTCTTCCTCTATTGCTCCAAGCAAATAGAAAAGCACTTGGTGTGTCTAGAATGGCCACTTAGAAGATTTTAAGACTCCAGGGAGCACCCAACAAACTAAGTGATTGAATAAAGGCACTAAACAAATCAGGACAGTTAACTGGGATGTCCCATGAAACCACAACCCTAAACCTACAAGCCAAAGAACCAAACCCCAGCTACTCTTTTCTTTTTGTTGTTGTTGTCAATACAAAGGGGGCTTCAAAACTCTTGTAGAAAAGTTCCTTTATTTTTCGGTTTCATTTTCCCACGAACTTTTTGAGCTCTTATGTGTATCTGTAACAAATTTTGCAAATTCAACTTTCCACAGATATGTAACTTATTGACAGTAGTTATTATAATAATAAAGTCTGCAGTCCTACCATTTTAATGAGTATGCTGTTGTTTCTACATCATGGTCAAAGAAGTCTTGTATTTTCCAATCTTCATTGAGGATTTCGCTCCTGAGATTAGAGAGCCTCAGTTCTGGCTACTATTGCTTCATATTACAGATCAAACTGACCAACTGGGGTAACTGGTCCTGGGGAATTGATGGGATGCAGAATTTGCACTAGTGATCCTTAGGATATTGATGGTACCACATGCTTATTTATGTGCTATGTAAACTCTTTACATATATTAGCTCATTTAACTTTACATCCAGCCTTTGATAAGGAGGATATTGCTACCTCTCAGTTTTAAAAGGAGAAGAGAAAGTTCAGTCAGTTGACCAAGGCTACAGATCTAGTAAGAGTCAAAGCAAGCTCTGTTAAGTCTAACACTCTTAACCACTGTGTCTTTTTGCCTTTGTGTAGTAGGAACTGTTGGAGACTAGGGGGAGGGGAGAGTTAGCTTTTAAAATAAAAGATGAGGGAAAAAGCAAAAACCAAAACCAGACAGAATGAAATAGTTGTAATAGTTCTATAAAGTGACACTCTTTCTAATTGAATTTTGTATCGTGTTACCCGTGGAAGGTGGAAGACCCGCTGTGTATGTGGCATGAATGGCGAGGCTTGGTAAGGAAGGGTGGCTGGTGGTCCCCAGAGTACTGATGGACTTCCACTTGCCTTGCCACAGACTGCTTCACAGAGGAGTGCCGGTCTGCGATCCAGGAGCAGGCTGCAGCCTTGGGCTTGGCCATGTTTTCCTTATTGGTGCGGCGCTGTACCTATCTACTTAAGGAGTCTGCCAAAGGTAAGCAACTGAAAGAACACCTACCAATCTCAGTGTCTTTTCCCTCTCCTCTTCCTTTCTTTTCCCAACATGCCTCTTAGCTAGTCCCATTTCCTTTTGTGATTAACTTTAAGTCCCTCTTTCCTTCTTGTATTTTCTTCCACATTTCTCCTCTAATAGCTAGGATTTTCATTGGAACTATGAGCTTCTGAGTGTTCTTTACAACTATAAAGAAAAGTTGAGTTTCCCTTTTTTGTTTGTCATTGATGTTGTCGGTTCTCCCCCGACCCCTACCCCTTCCCAATCTATATGCTCCTGGGACCTAGTGGGTGTTATATAAGCACTTGAGAGACTGACTGGACTCATTTGGGACCAATCTCCTTGAGAGCCTCACCATACCAGAAGGAGCTATTTTTAATCTTTAAGTTGAGGTGGTATCCCATATCCTTTACCCTAGATCTCCAAATCTGATAGCTATTGTAGTATAAGATAGAACCGAAAGTCTCAGCCTCTCTCCTTCCAGCTTCTTAGCAGTATTGGTGAGTAGTGAGGCACAGCCAGCACCCCACTACATTACTTTAGAGCAGTGGTTCTCAACCTGTGGGTCGAGACCCTTTTGGGGGTTGAACAACCCTTTCACAGGGATCGCCTAAGATCATCGGAAAACACATATTTCTGAGGGTCTGAGGAAATAAGACACCGCTTCTCTAGCCGTCTCCAGGCGGGTACACCCACATGCAGATACACCCACATCTGAGTACCGGGCATGAAGACGGTTACCCATATTATACCATGCTTCAAGCAAAATTTAATTTATTTGTAATTAGAAATAAATATTTCAAAGAAATAAAATAAAAAAAGAAAGAAATCTTTCACAATATATAATCACTATGCTTTAATTATGTTCAGTTTGTGACAATGAAAGTACATCCTGCATATCAGATATTTACATGATGATTCATAACAGTAGCAAATGACAGTTATGAAGTAACAATGAAAATCATTTTATGCCATCAAGCTCAGAAGCAACAAAGCCCACATGGAAGAAGCACACCAGCCTATGCAACCACGAGGTGTCGAAGGGATCAGGTGTAAGGCATC